AATGTTCTCGTACCCTCTACCAGCTTTCACATCCTATTGTATGTTTCCCCTGGTGCAGTAAAAGACCAACAGAATTTGTGCTGTTTGCATGCTATCGTGCAGTTTTCCATCAGGAATACAATTGCTCTAGTGACAGATATTTTTGCAGTAGTCACTGTTTATCCAGGTTTTGTAGAAATTACGACTAAAAGCTCAACATTGCAATCAAAGAACTTGAATTCTGTAGGCCAAAGTTGAAATAACTTGTTTTTTCCCCCCGCCTAAGAATTAAGGGATTAGTTTTAATGCTTTTGGGATGCTTTACTGGTCACCAGTTGGTTGCGTACTCATTTTTTAGGGCATTATTACTCATTTAATAATGATGACCCAAATGGATTGTATTGGAGAAGTCTGAGTAATTCAGGACCTCTAACAGAACACTACAAGGAAATTGGAGACTGCAGTTTGTACCAACCTTTTATTAAGGCACGTTGCACCTACGTGCCTGCTGAGGTACTTTTTCCCTCCAGGCTTGTTGTGTAGTGCAGTTGTTAAGCACCGCCTCTTTGCTGTTTAGTTAAATGGCAGAGCTGGGACGCCTGGACCTTTGCTGGTAGTTCTTTGCTGGTTAGAGCATCTCTTTGCCAGCATCAGCCTGGTAAGGCTGAGATCAGGAAGAATAAAAGGATCTGTAGGTGTATGTATGTGCCGTACAGTCTACATGAGAGGTACATCCTGACGGCACTGGGTTGATATGCATGCGTGGGGAAGTGATGCGTGACAACTGTAGTGATTCTGGTTTCTGAAAACTCAGGTTTATTGCCCATCTCAGGTGAAATGTTTTCAAGTACAGCTCCAGTGAAAAAACAGCCAACAGCATCGCTGCATGTGGGAGTGAACTGTGAGGAATCCTTCCAGTTTAACAGGAGAAGGTTGGATTCGGAGGCTGCAGCTCCACGGTCAAGGCTGGCTCAAGGTGAAGAGCTAAACAAGTTACGGTGGTGAAGATGGGTTTGCTTGCATCAGGTTGTATGTAGAGATGGGCGTGATAATTCAGCCTTGCGCCGGCTGAACAGGGACTCAGCTGGCTGGTCTGCCACCACCTGGCCCTGAGGCAAGTGCACTACTGCCTGCAGTCACTCCCCGGGAGTCCATAGAAGCAGTTCTCTCAGTCAGGAAGCTACAATTTCTTCACTAACTTTGCCAAATAACGTTTAAGTGTTCATTTTTCTATTTCTGGATTTTTTTTTTTTTGTGTAGCTATGCAAATGAGGAAAGCAAACTTTGCACTCAAATTTTCATGGAATGACTTATAGCTCAGGCACTCTGTAGCATTCATACAGTTCTAGCAGGAACATAAATAAATGTATTTTTTTACGTGTCGTTTGTTGTGTACCTTTACGGGGGATCTTGGAACACTAATATTTCACTGTTGTACTAAGTTACGTTACTCTGCGTTGTGTTCTGGTAGTTGTAGAAACAAACATCTGATTGTGCTTGGTTACACACGTTCCCCTCTGCTGTTACTAAATGCTTACTTAATACTGTAATTTTAAATGTTTACCAACAACCTTTTCCTGGTAACACTTGTTTTTCCTAGGCCCATAATCACATTGGGAAGACTCAAAATGTTACTTTTAATCTGTCTTCCTTCTTCCCCTCAGTATCAGGCGTAAACCAATATGTTGCCTCTCTGTTCATCCTCAGTAAGCCTGGGCAGGAGGGGGCGTTAGACCCGCTTTTGTGCTGTCATTGTTTCTTCCATTGACTTGGGGTTGTAAGGATGAAGGTTTCACGCCTTATGTATTGAGTGCACCTTGCCCAGTGGGAAAACAGGGAGAGAGTATTATTGTATAATTGAAAATGTTATAAAAAGATGACAGAAGTCAAATGCCCTTTTTTAACCGCACGTGTTGTAAATCACTCTTTACACCACCGGATGTTGCACTCTAGAAGACAGCATTAAATGAGTTGTGCGTGTAGAATCCATAAGAACAAAATTGTGAACTTAGAAGGCGCAAAAATCAGTGCTTTTTCTCATGCCCAAGTCTTGAAGCTTTACCATAGCTTTTTTCTTTTTTTTTTTTTATTTTTGGACCAAGCTTAGTGTTTTCCATGCGGGAGTCAGCAAGAATTAGGTGAGCTGACTGGTACTGTGTGCAAAAGGAGCGCACGTTGCTCAGCGGTCGACGTACTGACGTACCCCTGGTGCACACTGTGCCCGGTGCTGTCTGCTGGCCATAGGGCTTGTTCAGCACGGACTGCCTGACTGACAGCACTCACCCTTCTCTCCTGCAGCAGCCAGGGAGAAATGGCAGCCTCTGGACTGATCTTCTGAAGATGTTTCAGTATTCAGAGTAGTTTTGATTCCTGGAGCTTTGTTTGTTATGTAGCTGCTTCTTTTGAAATTTTGCTACACGTAAAAGGTCTGATAGTTTGGCATTTGCAGCCCTGACAAGTGTAAGTGCACGAGCAGTTTTTTTGGCAGGGATGAAAGGAGCTGATGATATTTGCTCTGTGAGGACAAAGGTGCTCTGTTTCTCATTGTGGGGTCGGGAATCCAGCGGCCTGGGAGGGGAGAGGCTGCACATGGGTTCCCGTGCAGGCAGAGCATGCCTGTACGTGTCCAGGTGTGCAAGGTCAGCACGGACACACGAAGCACGAGCAACACGGGCAGCCTCATTCTGCCCCCCTAAGGATGGGGGTCTGCTGGTGCAGAGCGTGCTCATGCACACCCATGCTGGCTGGCGCCCGTCCCGGCACCACCCGGGCGCAGCCCTTTATTGAGTATAGAGTATGCGCATCTCCAGAAATCCCTCCCTTCCCAGATAATAAATTAAAAATCATGAGGATTTGTCACAAATGTTAAATGTTTCACGTGCAGTGTGGGATGGAAACATTTGCAAAAGGTTGCTGTGCCTCCAGCTTCAGATTGTCGGCACACTGCATCTTTCTCAAGCTTCCGAACTGAGGTGCACGCAATTCTAATATCCTTTCGTTTCTTGGAAGTTAGTGAATGTATGAATGACTCAAGCCTGTGTTGTTTTATTGTCTCTGATGTTCACTGACTTAGGAAGTGCTGCTTATTTTGATGACTCTTCCATGTCAAAATCAGACTTGAGAATAATGTCTAGTCAAGAAGAAACAGTAATAAACAACTGATTTGTTCGTAAACGTAATTAATTTGCCCATTCATAGTGTATCTGCCACTCTTCTTCCTTTCAGGGTGTGAACTACAGGACAGATTTTTTTTGTTTTTAAAAAGTGGGGATGGAGAAGAATGAAGGTGCAATAAATATGAGTGACTAGCACCTCTGCTCTGGGGACAGGCTGTGAGAGTTGGGCTTGTTCAGCCTGGAGAAGAGAAGGCTCCGGGGAGACCTTATAGCACCTTCCAGTACCTGAAGGGGCTACAAGGAAGCTGGGGGAGACTTTTTACAAGGGCCTGTAGTGACAGGACAAGGGGTAACAGGTTTAAATTGAAAGGGAGGAGGTTTAGATTAGATATCAGGAAGACATTCGTCATGGAGACGGTGGTGAAGCACTGGAACAGGTTGCCCAGAGAAGCTCCCTGAAAATGTTCAAGGCCAGGCTGGATGAGGCTTTGAGCAACCTGTTCTCGTGGAAGGTGTCCCTGCCCATGGCAGGGGGGTTGGAACTAGATGGTCTTTAGGGTCCCTTTCAACCCAAACGATTCTGTGATTCTGTGACTTGCTGTTGTAGAGGGCAAGTGCTTTGAGAATTTAGGTAGTAGCCTATTTGCGCCTTGAGAAATTGGAACATGCCCATCCGAACCAGCTGCTGTTGCGCTGGGGTTAGTAAGATGCTGCCAGAGCCCGGCTCAGAAGGAATTAGCCCCACTTCTGTCTTAGTGAGGGAGAGGTAAAACTTGCAGTGTGTTGGCCATGTTTTACGAAGGATGCGGTGGGAGGTTTGGCATGCAGGAAGGTGTCTTTGCAGGGTCTGTAGCTGATGGTATATGTTGAACTCAAAGCTACCTTAGAGTGGGAAAAAAAAAAGAGAAAGAAAAGGAAAAAAGTGTTTTAGAACCCCCAGCGAAGTCCTTTGCCACAGGGGCGAGCGGGGAAGAGAAACGGTGTGGCGCCAAGCCAGACCTCTTCCTTGGGCCCGCTCTGCAGCACAGTGGGAGCTGGCAAGGACACGACGGTGGTTGTTTCACCACGTTTTCCCCCAGCACAGTGCACTTCTCATTGGGATCCACTCGGGCCCACTGTTGCCCGTTCCTCTTCGCGGTGGGATCAAGCCATACTTGGGGCGTAGGATGACTGGGTTCTAGGCCTGGTGCGTGGGTGTGAAGGGGCAGGGCTGACCTGCTGTGTTGGTCACTAGGCCTTGTTCTTCCTTTAACCGAACTGAAACTTACAGGTTTCCAGCTGCAAACAGAAGGCCCTTGGGGCCACGAAGGTTAAGGCACTAAGGGTACCCTGTGACTGTTAACAGCGTGTAACAGAGACACAATACTCGCGCTCTTTAGGACATACTCCTTTCGGAACTTCCCATGGCTGCTGATGAACTCCTTTTCTGTAGGATGTGGGGTTTTTTACACCTTGTAGCTCTTCACTTTGGTGGAACACTAAGAAAGGGCATCCCTTGGCCAGCACAGCTGTTCTTTTTTACTTCAACTAGTACCTGGCCGTTTCCTCACCCTAGCTGAGATCCAAACACACGTTTCTGTTACCACACTAAAAATGCTTCAAGGATCAAAATTTAGTTTGGTTAACTGAAACTGACTGCTTAATAGAAAATTGACGTAGCTTGTTGAGCTGGTCTAACAAAAGCAGTTTAATTTCTTCCAGTAGACCTTGGACCACCTGCACCATGAGTTTGTCCGTAGGACTTAGGTTATCACTCTGGTTTTTTGACTGCTCAAACAGAAGCACAGATAGTACAACTAATAAATTAATAAAAAAATAAAAAGGAACAAATCATTTTACAAAAGAACATTTTAGAAGGCTGTGGATGAGAGTTATCAACTGCTCACTTGTTCCTGTTTTCTCCAGGTCACAATGCATCAACCAGATGAAAGAATTGAAAGAACAATGTGAAGAAAGGATAGATGAGCTTACAAAAAAGGGCAGTGATGTACCACAAATCAAAGAGAGCAAGGACTTCTCAGAAGATTCGAAAAAAAATAGCCAGGTATGGCTTGGGTAATTTCTTTAAAATATTTTTCTTTGTAACTCTTCAGGGGTTTTCTGCCTTTCTGCTATTTCCAACTGGCATTAGCCCATCTCATTAAGTTTTACACTGCTTTCCTTCACATTTGTTGAATGTTTCTGATCAGTGGGAAGTGGAGTGATTCCAAGGACAGAAGAGGTGGAGGTCCTGCAGGAGACTCCAAATTGCTGTGTCCCTAAGAGGGGCAGAATTTGAGAGGCGATGCCGGGAGTGGTGTGGAGCCCGTTAAAGAATATATACGTTGCTGAGCTTTGGTTCACAGCTCCTGTTGGCGTTGTTAGAGGACTTAGTTGCTTTGTGTACTGAAATGCGTGTTAAAGGTGAGGATAAATTGTGAATCACTGCAGAGTAGCAGTAAGCCTTGAGTATGAAACTAGTCCATGAGTCTTCGAGGTCCATGAGCTGTGAATTTTCACAGGAGTCCTAATGCCAGCCTTTTGCTGTGGGAATGAAGGGAGGATCAGATGTCTTAGCTGTTTACTTTTGGATATTCCGAGCCAAAGAACCACAGAAAGCGTTTCTGTAGGTGGCAGGAGAAGGCTCAGTGGAACAGGGCGGACTTGCTGCATCAGGTGGCTGTGTGCCAGCTGACTCTTCCTTCCTGGAGTACAGAGTGTGTAAATAATCCTGAGAAAAGGAAAATTCAGATCATCCCGTTGTCTTGGCATGTGAACTATGGATGCTTCAGTGAAGCAGGATTTGGTCAGGGATAGGACTGGATTGGTTAAGCTTGATACAGATGGCCCTGGAAACTTGCAATGAAGCTCTTGCACGAGAATGCAACTGATGGATGTCTGTGTGCCGCAGTTGCACGGCACCAGTCACGGAAGTTACGTTTTTCACGTGGGATGGCAGCAGGGCCTTTCCCTGATACCTGGGTGGCCAACTCTCATTGCGAAGGCAGCAGGGTTTTGGTGGTATACGCCTTTTTCTCTTTGGCTAGGAAAAGGCTACTAGAAGAAACAATTGATGACTTCAGAAGGGGAAAGGGTAAAGCAATGAGGGTTGAAGCTGGGTTTTGCAATAGCTGGAAGTGGGTGGGAGAAAAATACCTGAAACATCTGCCCAGAGACCCCTGGCTGTTTGGGTAATGGTTCCAGTCTGTGTCCAGTCCTTTATGTAAAAAAGCGGGAGAGGGGACAGATGAAGTTTATGACCTTTTATCCAAGGAACCTGCACGGTATGAGGGCTGCAAGGTGAATGAAGCATTACAGGTGGGAAGTATCAGCCAATTATCCCCTTAAAAGAAAGTGAAAGCTCTTGTTTATCAATGATGATAAGTAAATGAAAAGTAATTATGGTAATAATATATAGTAATAAGTAAATAAAAAGCTCATAAAATGTACTGTCAAGATGTAAAATACTAACAATTTTGGAAGTTGACATGGGGAAGACTCTACTAGAGAGGTGGTCAACTTAATTTCTAGTGTGGCTTTGCAACACATTTTCATTACAATTTCTTGCACCAGATGCTTTTTTGTTCTTGCTGTGTGGGGCTTTGGTTGGTTGGTTGGTTGTGGGTTTTTTTAATTTTATTTTTATGTTTTACCTTTTGGAAGGGAAATTGGCCCAGAAGGAACCTGAGGAGTTTGGCTGAAGCCCCTTTGCTTAACAATTCCAGTCTCCTGCAGCAAGTCCCATAGCTGGAGGCAATCTTTCCTCAAAGCATGCAGTAGGTTAGGCAGGGCAGGCCACCTGATCTCCTCTTAGTCTGTAGATGGGATGGTCCCAGATGAGGTAGCTACTAATAGAGCTACACCCTAAATAAATTGTCTGCTTGTGTTCCCTGGCATCTGTGACAGTGTTTCTTATGTCAGGCTGTAACCTTCTCAGTCGTTTGTTTGCCCAAGGATTACAACTTCTTGCTTGTGTGAGTTATTTAGCGTTAGAGCAAGTTGACCCTGAGGAAACCTATGCACTTTTTCAGCCAGTGTTTTTAGCTGGGATAATTCCTGTTAGTAGGATGTAGATGCTTATGTAATAGAAAGGTCAGAGTTAAAATAAAACAGTGAAAGAAAATGGAGTGTTGGTTGGTTAATGAATATACAGCTTTCCTTACAGCTCTGTATTTTAAGGAATGAGGTATAATTCTCAATTGAGGAATATCTAATGAGAAATATGTAACAAGTTCCAATTGTTGTCTTTTTATCTAACCATTTCAACTTAAAAATTTTCAGCATACACCCTTTTAATTAATTTGACACAGTCCTTAAAAATTACTGAGCTAGAAATTTAAGATAAGGGGGTTTGCATGTTTAATTAAGAGGAAATTTCTTGCTATTAAGCGCAGGCTCAGTATTTTTTACAAAGGAATTCATGTCCAGCAAATGCGAAAAATGGTCTTATGTTCAGTTTCTGCTGGTTTCTACTGTAGAGAGTGACCTCAAGAGGCTGAATTATTTATAAAACAGAAGCATTTTTAAATACAGCGTTTTTGTTTTAACGACTGAAGAAAGACGCAGTTTGTGTGAATACCCTTACTGCCATAACCAAATACTCTGTGGTAGTACTTGTTTCTCACGCTTTCATTACAAGTTAATGCTAGATTATTTATTGTTGATGTTGGACCTCATGGTGTTGACCCAACGCGCTCCTTAAGCTCAGGCTTTGACTGAGCTTAAACGTTCTCAAAACAGCCAAGTACTCATATCCTACAAATCCTCTGCAACTTTTGCTTCTTGGTTATTTAAACACTTCTTCCTGCAGACTTTTTTCCGTTTTTTACTGACCTGCTTAGAGCAGTGGGTAGCCACAGACTTATCAACAGTCGTAACAGAAAACTTTCTGCGCGGTTTTGACTGGATGACTCTCTATACTGTAAGGTTTCCTATTCATTTGTATAGTACCAGGTATAAAAAGGTTTATGTCTCTAAGTGCCTTTATGCTTGTTCTTTCTCTATGTCTTTTTCTTTTTTTTCTTTTTTTTAAACAAAACAAAACCCCAACAAAAAAATCCCCATAGAACAAACAGTTTGGTAACAGCCTGTTGTTCCACACCAGAAGTGCGGTACGGGCTCCAGGCACGTTTCCTGCTCAGTGTTGGTGTGAACCGAATCGGCGTAGCGCTCAGACGTTCAAATGCCTACGGGAGTAAAAGTTGTACGTAAAATTTTAACTGCTAAGCTGGAAGATCTTCAAGGTGGTGTACCCCTTCGCCATTAATATTTAAGCAGGTCAGATGCTGAGAGCAGTCTAATACCAGTATTTAATACACTCTTAAGTAAACTCCATCATGTTAAACAGATACTGCTGTCTGGTGGGTTGATTTACATTTTTCCACTCTTAATCCTGCATTCAACGTCGCTTTAGACCACTTCTGTACAGACTTGCTCAACTGCAGTCATCTTATTCCCAAACTCAGCTTACCTGTCCCAGGAGGTTACTACCAGTGGTTAACGCCACCTGGTTTTGTGCTCTGCTGACCCTGACCCGGTAGCAGGGCAGCAGGGGAGAGATGTGGGGCGTTACAGTTCTGCGACCCCCAGCAAAGAACAGGTAGTGTTTCTGGTCAAACACTAACCGAGAACGGTAACCTCATCATTAGCTGCAGTTAGATTAAAGAAGGGGTTAAATTCTCCTGATGTGCTGCTATATAGAAACATCCCTGCGTATTCAAGATCGTATGGTGCTTCCATGGCCTATAAAAACTTTGCTCCAAATATTTCTGACTGTGTTAGGATTCCCGCCCCCCACACCCACTGAATTCTTACCTCACTTCCCCTTCCCTTTCTAAATCCAGAAGTAGTTTGACAGGCCGATGTTTATCTGTGTACGTTCACTTTCTAGGTCGGTATTCAGCTGTCGGCCTTGAAGCAAACAGAGCTCAGGCCGGCTGACCTGGAGCAGCAGCAGCTCGACGAAGATGTCCCTAAAGCAGTACCTACAGTCAAAAAGACAGATCCGCTGCAGGCTAAAGGTGAGATGGAGGTCACGATCTTACCAGCAACTGGTTAAGAATGTTTGTGATGTAATCGAACATTAGAAAAAAACCCGTATTTTTGTACGCAAGATGGAAAAAGCGACACCGGTAGGCAGAACTTTGATCAGTCTTCCTGCTGTGGCGAGGTGTGATTCCTGTTCACGTGTTTTTATTACTAGCATTTCTACTGGTTCAGTTTGGCTATAATTGACAAGTTGCATGTAAAGGAAAATACAAACATTCACAATTCTGGAGTCATATTTCTTATTTTAATATGGAGAAAATACCCTGCTCGTGGAAGCGACGATCTTCAAGCACCTTTAATGTTTTCTTTTTTATAAGTCTGACACATCTAGCCTGACAGCCCTCCCTACGGAACAGCTGAGAGTTAGGCCTTAAACAAACACACCTCCGTGCTTCCTGTGTGTTGTCACGGAGCAAAATGCAAGTAAGGGAAACGATACGTGGGAGATCAGATCAGTTAACCTAATGGCTGCTCTTGGCACTAAACTCTCAGAAATTGAATTTGGAGGGATGTATCCCTGTGAATCCACCTTGCGTGGTACTCTGTGTGCTGGAGATTCAGCTTCCTATTTCATTGTTTGTACATGCCATCTTAAATTACAGTCTTGGGAACATAAAACTCTCATGGTAGAGAGAGCTGGCAATTAAAGACAACATCTATATATAGTTTATACAGGCAAATTTGATTGTGGGTTTTGGTGTGGGGTTTTTTGGGGTTTTTTTAAGATACACATACACAGGAAAAAAGGTGTAATGTCTGCGGAAAGTAATAACCCTCCTGCACTTCCCCTTTGTATTTAAAAATAAGAACAGCCTCGATTTACTTGCAAATCTGCCCATGTGACTGCTTTTGTCCTGGGTGACTTCTGAACACCAGATCGGTTTTATTGTTGGTAACGAAACGTCACACACAAGAAACCTGATGCTTATACAGGACACTGCAATTTTTGTTTAAACTGCTTTGTTTTACCTGTCCAATTTATTAGCGGCACCTACCAAAGTTTTAATTAGGTGTGAGCGTGAGTCTGTTGACAATCAATGTCTCATGCTTTAGCTGTTCCCAGTAGGAAAAACACGGGTTGTCTTATTTTATCTTTGGAACTGACGTGGCTGAAAGATATTCTTTCAAAGGAAAAACAAGAATTGAATTGAGAAAGATAAAGCAGTATATTTATTAAAGGTTTTTAACTTGTGCCACCGCTGAAAGGCATTAGGTTTTTACTCATCTTTATTGTTTGCAGAAAGGGTGACCGAGCTAGCTGACACCAGAAAACAGGAGGCAAAGGCAGAAGAGGAGAAGCTTTCCAGTCAGCTGAAAAACTCGGAGGATTCACTCAGGGCTGCTGCAGGTCATAAGGAGATGCTGCCCGAGTCAGAGAAGGAGCCGAATCCGCCCGAGGATGAAAAACATGTAGCTGGGCAAGATGCGTTACAGCCGGCAGCAGAGCAGGCTGCCAGCGAGGAGGTCGAAAGGGAGCAGCTCCTAAATTACGATGCCAAGCAGGATGACTCGCCCCCCGGAAAGGCTGGTTGGTAGCATGTCATGTGCTGTTCAGAGCAGTAAAGCAATGAAAGCGTGGAACAGGGCACCGTTTCTGCAACAGTGGTGGCAGCCGGCCGGGTGTAGTGTAAGGTTTCGTAAAGGTTAGTGTGGGATGTAAGGGGTGAGTCGGTCCCCAGCAGGCGTCGGCATTCTGTGGGTAAAGATGGAGGCTCCGGTTGGAGCAGCATGGAGCTAGCAGGCTTTTCTGGAATCACCCTAGCAGCGCTCCTGTCTCTCTCGCCATTGGCTGTACAAGGCATTTGGGGAAATTAGCCCTGAAACTTTTTGGTGTTGGGGCTTCGTAAGAACGTGATGCATTTGAAGAGGATGAGACGTTAACCACCCAGAGCTCCGATGAGAAGAGGGACGCTGTGTATTGACGGTTTGCATCCAGTCTTTCTATAGAGTCAGCCTGTAAATGCTAGCTTTCCCCGTTTCAGAATAAGCTGTCCTGGCTAAAAGTCCACCTCGGACTTCAGGTACCTACAGATTGTTACTGTGAGTCTGCCAAACGGCCGAGCGGATGTTGCGAGGGTGCCGGTTCCTGGCATCCGCCACAGGCGACCCTGAGCCGCGCGTCTCCGCAGCACCGAGCAGCAGGGTATTGATGTGCCTGAAACCTGACCAGAACCTAGACATCCCTCTGTGTGTCTTGAGGAACTCGGTCTCAGGTGGACCCAGTGGCTCAAAGTAATCACGAGGAAGCCTTACAGCAGTCAGAGGAGGAATTGATCCCCACCAAAAATGCTGTTTACGCTTTTAGAATTGCGAGTAACGGCGTTAACGCCGGTGGTGACTCGGCAGGGTTAAACAACATCATCTGCGTCACTAATGAAGTATTTTCCCAACTGTTCCAAAAAGAGGGTGGGCAGAGGAGGCTGTCCTCCAAGGAGATGTGAGCCCAGGTTACCTGAACGGCTTTCGTTTTAACAGGAATAAATAGCAGAAAGATTAGGGAAGAAAAAATATCATCCAAGAGTGTGTGCAAGAAAAAGCTCTGCCGTGTAGCCCGTGGAAGGTCAGAGTTTCTGTGAGCACAGAGGAGGAGCAGGGTGTTCCTCAGGCCTGACAGTTCCACAGAAATACCGTACCTCCCTGCGCAGGTTCCCTAAGGAACCTAAGGTGGAAGATGATTTCTTCCGCATTCTCTGAGCATCCTCTCTCTTTCAATAAACACTTCCTTTTAAAAGTTTGAGACCTTTAGGCCTGTGACGGTAACAGTCTGTTCAGTGTGGTGGCCTGGACAGTGACAACGTAAGGCTGAAAATCTGGTTCTGAGAACTTGGCTCAAGGTGGGTCAGAACCAGAGCTCTCACCTCGTAACCGGGGTGTGCTTACGCCTCTCTGCTGTGACGTTTCTCTCACGGCTGGGTAACGGGGAAACAAAGGCCTGTAGTCCAGCCGTCAGGAAGAATGTTTCTGTTTGCTTCCGAGCTCTCTCTTTAAAGAAATCTTAAGACAGGCAATAAAAATTGCTTGAGATGAATTAATGACTGGGTGAAGAAAAATCTCTGACAGAAAAGCACTTTTCTGTCAAGTTAGCACACCATCAAATACTCCTTTTTTTAGCCTATATCGGCGGCTTTCTGCTTGGTGGACAAGCTAAAGGAAGAAAGGGGGAAGCCAAGACCCGTTTTAGGGGTGGTGGCAGTACACCGCGGTCAGGTTTCCAGCATCGGCTGCACGTCGCACTCTTCCTTAGGCTGTCCTTCAGCACGTTCTGGCGTTGTTTAATGCTTTTCCTTTCTCTCCATCTGAGCGCAGGCTGAGCTGGACTGTGCTCTTCAAACCCCCAAAGGTAACGGTCTTTCCCCTGCTTCTTTAGACAAGGTTTACGGCAAAAGCTGCTCTGAAAGTTTAACAGTTCAAAAGGAAAAAACAGTACAGAAACCCGCTCTAAACAGCAGTTGATTCAACAGCAGAGTAAATTGTGTGGGAGACGGTTAACTGTTTCGTGTGCAGATGACCTTGTCGTGTAGCATAAAACTAACTCCTCATAACGTTTTTCCAGAGAAACGGGAACACGAAGTGCTGAATCAGGGCAAGGATGTTGATTACAGTTTAGACGAGAATGAAGCCGAATCGGAAACGGACAAGCAAGCAGCACTTGCAGGGATTGAAAATGGTAAAAGCAACCACAGACCTGTTTTCTGTGGGGCGTGGCTGAAGCTGCTGTTTAACCTGTGGTGGGGAGGGACAGGTGCCGTAGCTCTGCTGCGCTGCGCCGCGCCGCACTTAACAGTCCTTTCAGAATGTCTCCTGCTGCGTTCTCGATTGTTTCCTTTGTGAAGAACCATTGCTTCTGCCTCTTACAGAGATTTCCTTACCTTTTTCTTTTTTCCTGATTAGTTCAAAACCCCGAAGATACGAATAACCACTTACCTGAGCACGATGAGGAACGACAAAGGTTGTGAACAAAGGAGGCTCGTGAGGGAACAGTCGCCTCTTCGTATAAACGCGGTGGTGATGAGAGCACAGTGATCTGAGCATGTTTTGATTATCTTCTCAAGGCTTCAGTAAGGGCCCAAAGGAAGTTGTATTTTCTTGCGAAGTTTTAGTACTGTTTCAGTGGTGAAAAAAATAATCTTAAGTCTCTGGAGGCCTGTTTTAAAGTGTCCTGACCTCTGCAGCGGCTCTTCCCTTTCTGCCAATCGTACGGTTCACACCGGCTAGCGGGAAGCACGGTTTGGCTAACTTGTGTTGTTACCGTAGCGTGACTGTACGTGTGGATTGGCGGTAGATGAGGAGGAGCCCTCTGCCAGGGATGGATCTCACCCCTGAGCAGTGCACTAGAGAAACCCCCAGCCTGGTTCTGAGAGGAGCTTAAGAAGCGCTACCTTACCTGGACAAAACATGGGAAGCATGAGAAACGGCCCAGGCCTTGGTCTGCCCTTGTGCCTGTCGTGGCACCTTTTCACTGTGGTATAGACAGGCTCTGAAACCGTGACTGTAGTCCTCCGATACTGTACAGTATGCTGTGTTTTCCCAGGCCTCCTAAATGAAATTGCTAGCTTACGCCATCTGTAACCAGGCTTAATCACTGTCCTGGTCCATGTTCATAGCTTTTAGGTTAAAAAGAAGATTCTGACGATCATCTCATTAAGAGGTTAGCAGGAAGACTTTTCTGAAAGCTCTGCTGGACTCCCGCTGATGAGATCAGTGCTGCGGTACAGCCCCGCTACCACTAACTTGCACAAGCACGGAGTGTGAAAACTCCCAAGTCCTGAGGGTTTCGCGAGAAGCCCCCTGAAACAGTGCTGCACGGCTGCCCATCCCTCCACCCGGCCTCCGTCCGCTGCCAGCGCGTGGGAAGGCGGGAGCTTGCCCTGTGGAGCAGCAGCAGTCACCTCAGCTCTTCGGAGTGACCGACCTTCCTGCATTTCTGAAGGAGGCAGACCAGACTCCACGTTTACCAGGCATCCCCGTCTGCCGCAGGCGAAGCCGAGTTGCTGCGAAGCCCCGTGTTACGCGCGGCGCACCGCCTTGCTGGTGTTCTGTAGCCTTTGTCCTTCCTGCCATTTCTTGACTATAAACCAGTTCACTTGCCATAACCCGGACTTCCCCTCTGCTGCGGCGTGGCCCGGCCCGCACGGTGTGCAGCCAGCTGGTTTGAAGGTCGCCCTCGCGTCTCTTCCCGAGACCCACAGCTGTGCAGGGAGCGGGCTTCGCCGGCGTGAACCAACCTCCGCCGAGGCAGCAGGGCAGCAGACGGACACAACTGACTTCCCGGCCCGCGGTTCCTTTTAGGAAAGCACAGATTTGTCTTGGCTTTCTCTCAGCCGCGCTTCACGTTGGTCGCTGCTGCTGTGGTGCATCATTCCTCGGTGTTCCAGCTGCTGTGCCTGGAGGTGTCCAGGTGGAAAGCTGGTGCGTTCCTGTACAAGGAGAGGGCGAGTTGTCTGTGAGCGAGAGGCAGCGCTCCGCTCGGACGGAGCCTACGCAGCCTCAGCACGTGAACAGTTCAGCGAGACCTGCCACATGTAACCTGAATTCTCCTAAGAGAAGCGCTACTTTCCGTTACCGAGTTTTTGGTTACTTGGTGGGGTTTTTTCATCATTTAAGTCATATTTAACTGGTCTGGATTCCTACAGTCCAGTGCATCAGGGAAAACAAGTGCTTGTATGCGGGAGAGAAAAGGATGCGCAAGCATCTCTTCTGGTAAACCTTGGGCTATTCAGTGGGTTCGGGATTTGGGGTTTTTTTTGCAAATAATGGCATGTTTTAACATCAAAATGTTTACCCATATTCTGAGTAAAAGGGGCATTTTCTTAGGACTTCATCTGTAAACAGTTGCATAGCTGCGATGAAGTTAATCAGGAATTTAATGGTGACTGTTAAAAAGCACATATTCTAACAGTGTAAAAATGTACCGTGAAAGACCTGTATTCAAGCTGAGTGCATGGCTCTAAGGTGACACTGGTAAAACTGCAAACAAACACTCGTTAAAGCAATTCTCTGGCAGTATATTAATTACCTTACACGGAGTTGTTTGGGGTGTACTGCTGCACGTACCTGAACCTGACCGGGCTTCTCGCTGCCCCTCCCGAAGGCAGACCACCACCTCTGACAGAAGGGGGTGGGAACACCTGCCTCAGGGCAGCGTTCACAAGCACAAAGGAGCGCAGCCTACGCTCCGTGGCTCTGGGTGCTGCAGGAATTAAACCAGGGCGGTAGATTTCTGGTGGGCAAAGGGCCTCTGTCTGCTATGTAGAATTTTAGAAGATTTTTAGTTGATCAGATTAATTTGGGACTGTGGTTCACATAGTGTTGTCTATCACTAAGATTTTTAGTTTTGTGAGGCAGGGAAAGCGTTGCGGTAATCATCTTGGGGTGAAAATAACAGTTCTTGTTGATTTTTTTTTTTTTTAAAAAAACTAAGCCTGATCAATTTTAGGTAAGCATTTTAAAATAAAAATTATCTTCTTGGCTGTGTATTCACCTTGTTCTGTACAGTTCATCCACTTCTAATCAAAATGGGAAAGATCATCATTCCTGTTTTCTGAGTTCTGTAAGTGACGTGGAACTCTGTTCCTCATTTACTTGCTGCCTCCTTTGGAGAAACGCCAAAGGCTGTCCTGGAGCTGCTGTCCCATAGTCCGAGATCTTTAAGACAGGAAAGTTTTTGGTGATTGTTCACAAGGTGGCAGTGAAAGCCAGATGAATTCTCGGTGCCCCAAGCAGTTTGCCATCTTTACAGTTGCAGTTCCCATCATCTTCCTCCCTCCAGCCACCATACAGCAGCGTTCACGTGTGTGGGTCGCGAGTATGAGCAAGGATGTGAAGTGTAAGGCAAGCTCCTGAGCAGAGGGATCGGGAAAAGGGTGTTTTCAGGGCAGTACCCCCGCTCACTTCAAGAAGCTGCAAACTGGGTGTTCCACTTCAGAGCTGCTTCAGAGTTTTCTAACTTTTCAGTCGAGGTGGCATTGCTCCACATGACAACCCTACGTTAGGGGAAACACAGAGGTCTTGTGTGGCCAGGAAGTTACAGGCACTATGGAGGAAGCCGTTCTGCACCAAAATGAAGGTCCTGTGCAACACAGTCAAACCTGGAGGATTTGCTTCTAGGGCTGAGTTAACACCTGGCAGTACAGCTCATCAAAAGGCTCGTCAGCTTTTTAAACTCCCCCTGGGCCTCGTAGCAGGAGGTTGCTCGGCGCAACAGCTTCCCTCTGCTATCACACAGCTGGAAGCACAGGAGGAAGAACTGTTGCAGGAAGGAAAGGGTAGGTTTGGGGCTCCTCCTGTTTGGGATTTCTCCTTACATCAACCATTACAGAAGGCAGGAAGAACAAGGGAATGAAGGTCATGCAAGAGCAGCAGAACAAAGTAGCCATCCCTCATTTGCAATGGCAAAGTACCAACAGGATTGGAATTAAAGCTGCAGAGCAGGTAAACTACACTCCCGGTGTCTTGTGTCCCTGTGTTACTAGTGACTGGTGGCGCCAGCCAGCCAGACTCTATGGAACTGCGGGAACAAACCGCAACTCAAAGGAACAGACTCCATCTCTCACTGTCTTCAGGGATGACCCTACCTCTGAGACAAAATACCTCCCAGACAACTGACTTCAAAAACTGACCAAATTCAGTGCAGTAGGAGCTGAATGACTAGTTTTCATCTGCTCTTAATTTGTATAAAGATTGTTTTAGCTTTCAGGACCTGGCAAGAAAAGAACTCAGTCTCTCTGCTTGCAAAGTGAGAAATTTGATGCAATTTAGGCAAAAATAGGGAAACCCACAATCCAAGCGGCTTTGTTCAAAGCAAAATTCCAGCAGCTTATCAGACATGAGGCTCTGTTGCATTATTTTTATTCAGTTCCAAGTGTTATTAAATCCCTAAGCCACCACATCCCGTCAGATCTCATTCATAAAAGTGATTTGTGACTGAATCTGTAGTAAAAGTCAATTAAGAGAAAACACTATTCAACAACAGTTGATTAAAATCAGCTTCAACCAGAAAACTGTATATAAACCATTTTAAAACAGCAGTTGTCATTCAGATCACATAAGACTATAGATACTCCACGTAACAGTACTTTTATCCTGGAAAATCCCCCTCAGTCTGGGTACAGCATTAGAAATTCCATCCTACGGCTGGTATCTGATAGGATACCTGATGCACAATCTGTCTAACAACCACCTCTTGTCTTTCAAACAAGCTTCACAACTGGAAAATATTTATGAGGGGAGAAGTCAAATTCCGGAGGAACCTATAAAGAAAAATATTTAAAACATTACACAGCAGTTCTACTGAATTTAATACTCAAAATGACAGACAGAAAATAAAACACTTAAACAGCAAAAGACTGGACAAAAATAATCCTATCTCCTTAAATGAATTCTGAAAAACACTGCAACCCAGTTATGGATATGCCAATCATCCTCCAGCAGTGATGGGCTCAAGGGTGTGGAGGGCTGGTGTGCCTCTTCAGTGTGCTCCTTCATTCTTCCCTACATAGCCTTTGGCAGGAATTCTGAAGGCCCTCTCCTCCCTCCGACCCACATGGGACGTGCTAATCCCAACAGCCAGCACTCTCCCGATACATTGCTACGAGTTACTTCCCACTCTTGAAGAATTTCCGTATGTGTACATATCATCATCTCATATGCACTTATTTTTTTCCCCCCAAACATACAGAAATGAGTCTTTTGTATTTAAATAACCACAACAAGCTATTTCCAAGGGGAAAAACTGATAAAGGTATTTTCACCGTTATTTTAAGAGTGACTATGGCCTGCATCTGCGCATTCACCTGCAAGAGATCTGTTGTAGCATTCCATGTAGTACTACATTTCCCTTTGGATGCAACTGGCATTGTCTTACCTTGGAGTCTTTTTTGTGGCCTCCTGCCAGCAGCTTCATGACCACAATATTGGGCTTAGCAACTTTGAGAATTCGACTGACCTAAACACAAAA